AAAATTTTTATTAAAATTTAAAATAAAAAAATACAGTCACCCCTCGTATAACGCTTTGCATAAAATCACAATGGCGTATAACGATAACAAGTATTTTTCTGTCTTTTTTGTAATTTAGAGATATTTTCCTCCAACCACCTCTGAAATATTTTAAAAATATATGCCTGAAATAAATAAAAAATTTCAATTAATCTTATATGGACAAAAGTTTAAGATAATCAGAAGAAGAGAGTGAGATTTTAATCTGTTTCAAATAATGTCCGAAGTTTCATATCCGGTTATTTCAGAAATAAAATTAATATATTAACCTTATGTCATATTTTAATCTAAAATCGAAATAATACAATTATGTAAGAATACAATTACATTATGATTGTAATGAATATAAATCACCCTGTTATAACGTAAAAGAATGTGATAGGATAGGAACTCTATTCTTTCCAAATTAACTGTCGAATTCTATTCTCCTAATTAATTTTCGCATTGGGCAATTATTTTAGCAATATTGACAATAAATTACTTCTCTTAATTAGGTTGTCATCCTAAACGTATGCAATAATTATTTATTATATAATAATTATAATTCTGTTACATATATCTATATTAAAAAAGAATAATTTAAATATGGAAGTTTGTTTTTAGAAAAATTTATATTTTACCTTCCTTAATGTTAAAACGTAGTTACTAACTTTACAAATTATTGGTTTAATCGAAAAATACAGAATTTAACCATTGGTTTGATCCCCGAATACAGAAGCACGATTTGTGTTAAAATTTCTTCGACTTCGAGAAATGAAAGTACTCGTATATATCATTTCTTACCGATCTCTTCGTATGCAATAAGGGAAGTTATATTGTAACGGGAAGCAATTCAGATATGCAAAGATTTCGACGAAACTATATTTGTCAATGCTAAAGGTGAGTGCATATATTTTCGATCATTTTCAGAATATATTTGAAAAATCAACTTATGTCGAAAAATAAAATTTGATATATGTATAAACTTTGTTTATCTGACCATTGGTGCAGTGGTTATGGCACCGGTCCTTTAACCGAAGGGTCTCGGGTTCAAACCCCGGTCAGGTCACTATAAAAATTATATTCAATATTATTACAACTTAATATACAATAAAAACTTTGTTTAACAATAAAAAAAAAAACTTTTCTAAAAAGTCAGAAATCAGGTGTCAGCCATTAGACTTTTACTATGCACCGATTTTAGGAAATTTTAATATTTTAACTTCTAAACTTTTCCGTAGATTCGAATGGTACAAAGCAAGTCTCTAGGAATCAAATTTTCCATTTTTTTCGATTTATGTTAACAAAAAGGTTACCAAAATCATTAAAATTCCAAAAAAAAGAATGTGACGTAATCGACCACGAACACTTTGTGATCGATTATGTGCTGATCACATCAAATGTTTTTTTTTTAATTAGCAAAAAAAAAAACTAATTGACATAATACTCGTCTTCTATTTTCTAATTATGATTGATTGCATAGCAAATATTTTCACCTCAAATTAAAACAAATAATTTTCTTATTGCCTTTACAGTCAAAATCCAAAAATAAATCAAAAATATAAAATATTAAATAAGTTGACATCTCTCATTATAAACAATAAAAGAGAAACGATCGTGTTACACTCATATTATTTAAGCAAAAAAAAAAAATATTTTTTTTTTGCACTCATTTCAAATCAATTCAATTTGCTTCAATTTAATATGACTTTGTGTTATGACATCGAAATATAAATAAATATTTATACATGTGTGTAACATCATTATGCAGAACAATATCGTCTATCTATGTCCAGTGATTTTCAACCTTTTTCACGTAGCGATACAATTTCACTTTTTCAATATATTATAGCATATTTTTTTTAGATTGGACATATAAGAGAATAATTTTTAATTTAGTTTAAAATAACATTTTTTAAAATAATTTAAAATAAACAGTTTCAGATATCTATCAACAAATTACACAGCTGAAATTATTACCGCCCGAAATTCATAAAATTTGAATTTTCGGCACCTAATATTTCCGAAAATGCTATTCTAAATTTTTGTAAAAACAGTAATTTAACAGGAAATGCCATGCCATCATATAATTATTTATCATAATTCAAGTGAATAACTCCCCAATTTCACAATTTTCTGAATGTCTCTTTAAAAGTTTTTCTCATCCCAAATTTATGCAATTTTTTGAAATATATCAAAATGAATGAAAGTAATTTAAATAATGTACCTAATAGATTGTTTTAAACAGCAGTCGGCGAGGGGAATAGTGCTATTTTACAAACCATTGGTTCAACTAAATTTCAAGAATTTATACGCTTACAGAATACTATATTGCAAGTGTTAGGAATCACTATATTTAAATATTCAAAAATTAGCTAATCAGAAAAATTTGAATATTTTTAAAAATCTTTAAATCAAAAATTTTAAAGTTTTGAAAATTTATTTTAAAAAAAAAAAATAAAAGTAGCATACAATTGTAAATTGTTGTTGAATTGTAGTATAATATTTAATTTAATACAAGTATAACAATAATTTGTGGTGTTATAAATTGTGCAAAATTTAAAATGCATTTTATTGTGGGTAGGAGTTGATGCTTTTTGAAAATGCAATATAGATTAAATATAATAAATAGAATGAATTATTCTAAAAATAAAATAATATTTTCAGCGCGTACACATACATACAAACATAATGTTAATCAATTGCTATTTTAGAATAATAATAATAATTTTATCTGATGTAATAATATTTAGTATGAGATGAACTTTAAAAATTGTACCTACTCGTTTCAACATATTTTAATAGTAATATTATTATACATCCATACATTTATACACATATATTGTATTCACCACACATTCAATGAATAATGGTCTAGCAAAAACATACGAAATTCATTTAAATATTTAAAAAAAAAAAATTATGTTAAAAGGAAGTCTAATATTAGCAACATAATTTAAGAATATTTTAGTTTTGACCTAATTTTTTCAATTAATATAGCGAAAAAAAAAAATTTAATGGAGGAAATTTCATTCGTTTTCATTTGAATTAAAAAAATAGATCCAACCCAGCCTCTATATTTATTTGCATTTTTATTATGCTAGTTAGTGTGGTTACGATTAATTTGCTAAATATTTTTCTTTTGTTGTTTTTGTATTTTAACTAGATAGAAGGTTAAATTTAAATATGAATTTTGTGCAACATATGTACATATACACAAATACACAAATATGAATACATAAGAAATAATATTTTAAACTGATTTCAACGGATTCAAGCTTTCAAAAAGGCCCGCGATAACTGCGGTTTGAAACGAATGTTTATAAATTAAATTACCAAAAAAAATCATTCATTTCATTAATATTCATTCTTGAAGTAAGACCAAATGAAGTAACAAAATTTTACTTTTAGCCGAAAGCAATATTTGGAAAGCAACTTAATATCATTATAATCGATATATTGATCGAATGCCATATTTCTATGATATTCAATTGCCTAAAACCTGACACTGATATTTAATATAAGGTTTTTCATTTTTACCAACCGTATTGCATACAATAAGGGCGGCTATTTTCGGTTAAAAAGCACTACTCCGTCTTTTTTTTCAGAACTGATTCTGATAAAAAATTTATATCTGAGGTAATTTTGGCTACGTATAACAGACACTTGGCTATATATAACAGTTATACTGATTTTGCGGGGTGTGTTAGATCTTGAGACATGGGGACATAATACGAGCCCATTTTACGTTTTAGATTATGCTTAAAAAATATTGAACAGTTTAATTTACAATTTTGTATATAAGCTTCATTTAACAGATAAGGAGACACTTACCATTTCAAGGAGATCAGTTGTATCAGGAACTCAACTTCCATTATTTTTTCAATTTACATTTTTGAGCATATAATAGGACGCCCTCGATCAAATTCCTTGAAAAATCAATATTTATTAAAAAGTTTAAAAAAAAATGGGTTTATAAATTTTTTGGGAACTAACTGATAAAATTTTCAGAGAATTGAAATTGCATAAATGAACTAAATCTGCTTATAGATTTTTTCGTTAAAAGTAATATGATGAATATATTTTCCGGCATTTAAAACTATTTAAGGGTATTGTTTTATTTTTAGCGGTAATTATATAAAAACAACCCGATTGATTTAAATATAATAGTTACATATCGACAATAATTATAGAAACATTATATGTAATTATAAAATCATTAAAAGTTCATCATGTAGGAAAATTCAACTGCGCTAATTATTAAAAAATAAATAACGTAGTGTATGATTAAATTGGTTTCAGTTTATGCCGTTAATATATGAGATTTTAATAAGTCTCTACATCAAAAGGCAGAGTTTAAGATCGCAATTCTTCTATTCGACATTGTTGTTCATCTCACCGGATCAAGCACTTTGAAAATTCTAATTTGCAATTCTAATTATAATATTATAATGTAATATGTAATTATTATGATAACCATTGAGGCAATTGATCATAATTTTAATATTTTATTTAGGGAAATTAAAAAAGTAAAATTTTTGGAGAAAAATTGCTGTCTTCAGTCAACCGAAATTTAGAAAAGCTAGTAGCATACTTTATAAAATCATTATTCTGTCATGTTTATAACTTTTAGTTTCATACCTTATAAGATCATGTTTATAGCTTCTAGTACATTATTTATACTTGTAGAATCCGGACAAATCACACATGATCTTTAATCGGTCAATTACCTTCAATGTATTAATAATATTGTAGACTTGACTAAATGAATTTTGAAAATGCTTTAAATGTAATATTTAAAGTTTAAGTCAGTGCAATTTGTAGTTCGGGGAAATTAAATTTAAACGGAATTTTTTTATAAAAAAAAAATTATTTGTACCCACACAAGGAAAAAAAAACAAACTATAATTTGATTTTATTCCTAATTTTCATAGAAAAATATGAGGCTTTCAAAAGTTATTCTAATTCTTATAATAGAATTTATGCTGTCGGATGAAATCCAAGCTTGGGTGAAGAAAATTTTTTACATAATTTTTTAAAAGAACTTTCATGTAAAAATTTTTAAATTTTAGAAAAATAATTTCTTTATACCAACTCGATTAGAATGTGATGCAAGCCCAGAATGGTTTTCTAATTATACTTGCAATATTAAGCCAGTATCAAGGACTAGAAAAATTATAATTGCGAGAGCTGAAATAAGGAAACCGATCAACAAAATTTTCGTGAGCATCATCAATTTTACTTTACATATAAAAAAACATAATAATTATATGATTTACTCTTAAACTATGATTAATGTATTTAGGTGAAAATTCAAGTTTTCAAACGTTTTAGTGGCTGGCAACCATATTTAATTAATCATTTATTTGAAGCTTGTGCATTCCTTGGTGGTAAAAAAACCTCGAACATTTTATATAATAATTTTTATAAAATCATTAAACCACTTTTTGATAAATATACCAACATAAATCACGAATGTCCTTACAACGTAAAGAATAATTTATTTAAATATATCGTTAAAATTATTTCACACACATTGTTACACCTATATTGGGTTTGACTTTAAATATTGGTTAAGGATTTTTTTTAAAAAACATTGTAACGTACTTCAAGCTAACAATACCGACGCTGGTAACTGTTTACTTATGGCAGCTATGTCTTTCACTTTCAACCCATTTTCACAACTGCTTTTAAGAGCACTCTTACCAGTGAAAATTAAAAATTCATTCAGGATTCATGCCACTAAATGTTTTGAATTTTTTCGCGACATTTTTTTCTGTAAACTTTATCAAGTATTAGTTGACCTTCATTAAAAATTTCAAAAATCTTATTTTCTAAATTAAAAAAATCTTTAATTACGAATTATTTGGAAATGAACCTTATTGGCTCATAGGTTTTGCAATCTGAAAACACTATAAGTTTGTATACCTGAGAGAGCTATATAAAGCAATAGTAAAATTTTCTACAATATTACAGCGGTAACTTTTAAAGTCTAACACGGATATAGGTGTATCATAATAGGTGTAAGGTGTATTATCTAGACTTAATTTTACATTTTTAATCTAGGGTACAGTTGAACTATATGAAGTTGATTATAACAAAATTGATATACCGACTGCAAAAGGAACAATATTTCCAAGTGGTTATTACAAGGCTGTTGGAAAAATATATGAAGCGAATAATTCGTATATTGGGAGTGCGGTTTTTCAAGGAATTGTTAAAGAAACTCAAACTTAATATTTTACTTAAACTGGCGTTATAAAACTATTTCCAGAATTCTTAAGACTTTTATTGTTTTTTTAATAACATAATATTAAAAATACAATGGAGTATTTTGGTTTATTATCTAGCTTTAATTTTTGAATTGTATTTAAATATATAAGCTTTTTGGCATACACCTCTCTAATATTTGCAGTAATGATTTAAATTTCTTGTTTTCTCAATTAAAAGATGCTGCGGCAGCTCTAGTAAACTGTAACTTTTGATACGGTTCAAATTCTTATAGTTTGTAATTTTCATTTAACTATGAAAGGCGTTTTACTTCTAGAGTACTCTTTATATTCGAAATGTTCACCTGGCTATCGGACAAAAGAAAGAAATTCATATTCATAGATTTTAAAGAATTAACGAACCTTTTATATCATTATATTGGAAACTGCTTACGCATTTTATTTTTAACTTACCATAGAACACAATTGATAAGATTTTTATATCTTTTTCGAACACAATGTCCGAATGAAATGACATTTTTTTTTATGTTATTTTTTTTTTATTTTATTATAGATGTATTCTTACGAAAATTGTGGAATGAAAATTTAATTTCATATTAATTAAATTAATTACTTGCCCCAAGTTGTTCTGGACAGAGTCGGTTCATACATGCAAAACGTGTACTTATCACAGCGCCATGGTGAAAAAATGTTGTTAAATTAGGTAAAAAGAACTAGATTGAAAATGGAATAAATATTATTTAAATTTTCTAGAATTGTACATGCCCGAAACGGTTTACAACAAGCCCCATATATTGCTTTTTATCCACATGACTCAATTTTCAGCTATACATAACTCCCAAAATAAATTTTCTTTATTGAAGTATTTTTTCCTTGAAAGACTTGGGTCCTTCTCTCGTCGACTCATAGGATCTTTCGCGATTCCCATTCCCACATACAATTAGCAATATATCTATGCTTTTGATGCAGCATAGCAGCCACTTCAAGTCACGAGATTACAAAGACATCTCCTTTATCAAACTTAAATCATGTACCTTTTCAGTGCGATCACAAAACTAAATTTGATTCAAAGTCGGTGATTTGAAGAGTATATCACAATATAATTTGGTTTGAACTTACTATTTGAACTATTGTTCACTTCATCAAGGCATATTCTATTAAATTTGCTTTTAAACTTCCTAAAGTCGTCTCTACATGAAAAGAGATGCAATAATCAAAACACGGTTCGAATTTAGAATTAATTTTCCAAATTTGGTTTGCAATTTTGTGGGTGTTCACTTAGACGTTTTTTGATTTATATAAATTAATTTTACGGACTTATTTTAAATTCTAACATTTTTTTCAAAATTGTTTACGGTATGTGGTTAATTTAGCGGTAATACAATAAAAACAAGCCCATTGATTTAAATATAATATTTTTATATCGACAAAAATTGTAGAAACACTATGTGTAATTATAAAATTATATTTAAAAGTTCATCACGATAGCGAAATTCAACTGTGCTTTAGTACTAATCAGATGGATAAATAAAATTACTAAATAATTAACGTAGTGTATGATCAAAATGGTTAGAGTTTATGCCGTTAATATATGGGAAGCTAAGATCGCAATCCTTCCTTTCGACATTGTTCAACTCTTCGGATCAAGCACTTTGAAAATATAAGATGCAATTTTAATTATATTATAATGTATTCTGTAATTATTATGATTACCATTCAGTCAATTGAGTGTCATTTTCTTACTTAATTTAAGTAAATTAAAAAGGTAAACATTTGAGGAAAGTAAACCGAAATATAGAAAATCTAGAAGCATATCTTATAAAATCATTGTTCTGTCATGGTTATAGCTTCTAATTAATTATATATATACTTGTAGAATCTAGATAAGTTACGCATGATCTTTAATCGATTAACATCGTAAAATATTCTAAAAATAAATTTTAAAAATATTTTAAATATAAAATATAAAGTTCAATTTAGTGTAGTTTGTAGTTCAGGATTTATAGTTACACGGAAATTTTTTATTATAAAAAAATTATTTGTACATACAGGCGAAAATATCGAAAATATAATTTGAGTTTATTCCTCATTTTCACGGAAAAATATGAAGTTCTCAAAAGTTATTCTAATTCTTATAATAGAATTTGTGCTGTCGAATGAAATCCAAGCTTGGGTGAAGAAAATTTTTTACATAAAGTTTTAAAAAAAATTTTTTCATGTGAAAATTTTTTAATTTTAGAAAAATAATTTATTAATACCAACTCGATTAGAATGTGATGCAAGCCCAGAATGGTTTTCTAATTATACTTGCCATATTAAGCCAGTATCAAGAACTAAAAAAATAATAGTTGCGTGGGGTATAATAAAGAAGCCGATCAATAAAGTTTTCGTGAGCATCATGAATCTTACTTTATATATAAATATACAATATAATTTTATATGATTTAATCTTAAACTTTGATTAATGTATTTAGATGCATGTCCAAATTTTCAAACGTTTTAATGGCTGGCAACCATATTTAATTAATGAATCATTTGAAGGTTGTGAACTTCTTGATGGTAAAAAAAGCTCGAATAGTTTCCATAATTACATTTATAAAATTTCTAAACCACTTCTTGATAAATATACCAACATAAATCATCCATGCCCTTACAACGTAAGGCACTTAAAGATAACGTTATATTTTATGCATACTGTTACACCTATGTCACGTTTAACTTAAATACTTACTTCAAATCCTACTTAAAAATATTGCTTTATTAATTTTTTGGTAACAAAGCCTAGGCTGAAATTTGCAACGACGGAAATTGGTCGCGACTTTTTTTCGCTAAGGCTACTTTGGAAATTACAAAAACCGTTTTGTTTTCTGCGGAATTTAATTGTTGAAGCAATGAGTTCTCAATCGATCTTACAAAGCCAAGTTTCTTAAGTGTTTGAATTTGATTCTGACATTTTAAAAAAACTCTTTGTATTTTCTTCAAATATAAACTTAAAAAAAAAATATATTAATTTAAAATAAACCTTCGTAAGGTTTTACAAACTTAAAATTCTATAATAACTTGGTATACCTGGAAGCAATACAAAATTCAAAAGTAAAAGTTTACAAAATATTAAAGAGATATACTGTGTTTTATATTTGAATGAGTGCAAAACCCTTATAAATTTTTAAATTTAACACGGATATAGGTGTAATACAATGTAACATTATCTACACATAATTTCACATTTTTAATCTAGGGTACAGTTGAACTATATGAAGTTGATTATAATAAAGTCGATGTACCGGCTGCAAAAGGAACGGTATTTCCAAGTGGTTATTATAAGGTTATTGCAAAAGTACATGAAGCGAATAATTCGATTATTGGGACTGGAGTTCTTCAAGGAATTGTTAAAGAAATTAAAATTTAATATTTTGATTATAAAATAATTTTCACAATTCGTAAAATATTTATTTTTTTCTAAGAACACAATAAGTACCAAAAATAAATTGAAATTTTTCTGCTTTAATTACTAGTTTTAATTTTTTTTATAATATATATTTCTTTAGATTTCTTATACAGAGTATTCTAGTTCTGGTGTAACTGTGCTGGGAGGTAATTCTCAGCAGTTTTTTAGAAAAATAATTTAAAAAGGAGGGAAGGGACGTTACAAAAAATCAGATTGAAAAATTCAGCCCGACAAAAATCCATTATTACTTTAAAACTGTTGAAGCTAAAGCAAATTTGTGTATGGATACTTTTTTGTCAGTTGATAGATCTTCATAAAGATATGCCGATGGTTGGTGTCAGATTTACTATTTCGAAGTTTTAAAATTTTTTTTTTGTCTGGCGAAAAAATTTAATATTAACGAGAAAAATAGTAGAGTTGACTTTGTCAACTCTGTGATACCCGTACGAATTTGTTATTCTATGTGCGAATAACTAATGTGCCATAACTAACTATGGGGCAGACTATGACTTTAAGTTGCCGTATTACCATATTAATTTATGCAAAATTTCAGTACTATGTGTTTTTCAAAATACTGGTTGTGCCAAACTACTATTGAAGTTGTATGGCAGCTACCAGAAAGAGCCAAGAAATTTTAGCGAATTTTATAAAGCACATCGGCCCTACTAATATATTCACTTGTGTGAAATCTCAATATCACAGCTTTTATAGTTTCTGAGATATAGCCAAATAACTTTTGAAGTTGTATGGCAGGTACCAGAAGGAGCCAAGTAATTTCAACGACTTTTATGAGACACATTGGCCCTACTAATATATTCGTTCGTGTGAAATTTCAATACCATAGCTTTAATAGTTTCTGAAATATAGTCAAATAACTTTTGAAGTTGTATGGCAGGTACCAGAAGGAGCCAAGTAATTTCAACGACTTTTATGAGACACATTGGCCCTACTTATATATTCGTTTGTGTGAAATTTCAATACCATAGCTTTAATAGTTTCTGAAATATAGTCAAATAACTTTTGAAGTTGTATGGCAGGTACCAGAAGGAGCCAAGTAATTTCAACAACTTTTATGAGACACACTGGCCCTACTAATATATTCACTTGTGTGAAGTCTCAATATCACAGCTTTTATAGTTTCTGAGATATAGCCAAATAACTTTTGAAGTTGTATGGCAGGTACCAGAAGGAGCCAAGTAATTTCAACGACTTTTATGAGACACATTGGCCCTACTAATATATTCGATTGTGTGAAATTTCAATACCACAGCTTTTATAGTTTCTGAGATATAGCCAAATAAATTTTGAAGTTGTATGGCAGCTACCCGAACCGGTACCCCGATCACGTCCAATTTAAATAGGGTTCTGGCACTTACTACAATAAATCATTTGTGAAAATTTGGTGAACTTAGCTCAATTAGTTTTTGAGTTATCATTCGGACGGACGGACGGACGGACGGACGGACGGACGGACGGACAGACAAAGCTAGATTGTAGATTGTAGATTCTAAGGGAACTGAGTGGGGACAGGAGCATCCCCCCAAGCCACCGCAGCCATTTTTGACTTATTGTAGCCACCCCACCCTCCCGTCTATAATATCCCCGTCCCAATCACAAAGCCGGAGATATCCCTAAGGGAGTTGGACAATAGTTCCCGAACACTTAGGGACCCATGTCCAAGACAATTGCGGCGCCGAACAGCCAGTGCCGGACAGTCGCAGAGAATGTGCACGGCGGTCTCATCGCCACCCCCACAAAATCTGCACAGGGGGGAGCCCGACTTCCCCAGCCTGTGCAGGTGGTATTTCACCGGGCAGTGCCCCGTGAAGAAATTCGCAATAGTGCGAACCCGGCTCCTGCTCATCCCCAGCAACTCCGCAGCGAATCCGCCGGAGCACGCCGGAACAAACACCTTCGCATGACGGCACTCTTTCGTGTCCCGCCAGTGACGACTGCATTCCGCCGCGAGTAGGCAGGCAAGCCTGGCCCCCACGGCGGAAGAAGGCAGACCACAGAAAGGCAGCGGCTGCACAAAGGCAGCCCCAGATCCCCTCCGCGCCAACTCATCGGCAACTTCGTTGCCCGCATGGCCACTATGGCCCGGCACCCAAATGAGCATCACTCTGTTTTCCGATGCCAATTCCATAAGTGCAGCAAGGCAGCTCCAGACCAGCTTGGATGTAACCTGAGCTGAACGGAGCGCCAGCAGTGCAGCCCTGCTGTCTGAGAACACATAGATGGTGCGGTTTCTATACCCCCTTTCCAAATTGATTCTCAGACAGATCTCTATTGCATGTATTTCGGCCTGGAACACTGTGCAATACGGGTCAAGGGTTGCATATACACGCGTGTCCGGGCGGACACCGTATACGCCCGAGCCCACACCCGACTCCGTTTTGGATCCGTCCGCATACCACACGCTCGAACCCGACCTAAGTACCGGACCACCCCGATCCCACGTCCATCGATCAGGAAACAGAACCCTGTACTTGTGGTCGAAGTTGTACCGCGGCAGACAGGTATCTGACATGGTTATCCTTAGAATCGGATCGCCCTCAATGAAGTCTCTGTGAGTTCTGTGGGCCAACTTTAGCCCTGCCCCGTCCTCGCCAGAGAGAAGTCGGTAAGTCACCAGCCGAGCTTCCTTCAATATATGGAGGTGCAGTGGCGGCAATCCGATCATCACCTCCAATGCAGCGGTGGGAGCCGTCCGCATCGCCCCGGTCACTCCCAGGCAGGCCAGCCTCTGTAGCTTTTCCAGCTTGGCCCGCACACCCGCCTGCTGAGCTTTACGGCACCATACAATCGACGCATAGGTGACGATGGGCCTAGCAAGGGCCGTATATAGCCACAGTGCTATTCTGGGACTAATTCCCCAGGTCCCCCCGATGAAGCTCCTACACGTCCACAAGGCCGCCGTAGCTCTCCCGATAACTCTATCGATATGGGTATTCCAAGAGAGACGATCATCCAGGGTTACCCCCAGATACTTCACCTCCCTCGAGTAACTAATACGTTCACCAAACAGAATTGGGCTCGTTAATCTGTCCCTGCTTCTGCGTCTGGTGAAGGCGACCAAAGTGCTCTTGCTTGGATTTATATTTAATTCAACGCCTTTGCACCACCTTTCCACAACACGTAAATTTTGCTGTAGAAGATCAGAAATAGTGCTCTCAAATTTTCCCCGCACGACGAAGGCCACATCGTCAGCGTATCCCCAGACACGCGCCCCGGAGCCCCTGAGAGCAGCTATTAGATCATCCACTACAATGGACCACAGGAGGGGCGAAAGAACCCCGCCCTGCGGACATCCTTTTGCAGCGGAGATGAAGAGTATATCGTCAGCTATGGTGGACTTAATAATCCTATCCTGTAGCATCCGATTGACCCATCTGCTAGTCGTCGCATCAATCCCTCGTTTGTGCAACGACTCACAGATGACATGATATGGGGTGTTGTCAAAAGCTCCCTCTATATCAAGGAAGCAGCCAACTGCTACCTCCCGCACTTCCAGTGAGTTTTCAAGGACCCCCACCAGACTCTGCAGAGCGAGTACAGTAGACCTTCCCGACTGATAGGCGTATTGAGATTCATGCAAGGGATTGCTTCCCAGTGCACCGTCCCGTATAAATCTATCAATCACTTTTTCCATTGCTTTCAATAGAAAAGAAGTAAGGCTGATTGGACGGAAAGACCTTGGGTGGTTGCTTGGTCGCTTACCCACCTTCGGAATATACGTCACTTTAGCCACCCTCCATGCCTGAGGGATGTAACCCCACGCATAGCTGGCGCGAAAAATTCCCAACAGTGCTCTAGCGATATGTTGGAAACCCCTCTGCAAAAATGCAGGATATATCCCGTCATCACCTGGAGATTTGAAGGGCCTGAAAGAGAAAACAGCCCATCTAATCCTGCCCATCGTGAAGACTAGACGGGATCGTTGCCAGTCATCCCTCCTGGGCCAGGGTGCCCCCGGTTGGATGACTGCATTTGAGTGATTCCGAAGAATCTCCGAGTCAGGAAAGTGCGTTGACGCCATAAGCTCCAACGTCTGCCTTCCGTTCTCAGTCATGGAGCCATCAGGACGTTCCATTAGGCCCAACCTACTAGCATACTTTTTGGAAAGCACCCTGTGAAGACGCGCACTGCTGGGGAGTTCATCAATGCCCTTGCAGAACGCCCTCCACGAGATTCTCTTCGCTTTCCTAATTTCTTTATTGTATTTTGTGAGTGAGTCCTTATACTCTTCCCACGAACCTGACGCTTTGGCCCTATTGAATAGCTTCCTGGTCTTTAGTCTAAGCCTTGAAAGCTCCTCATTCCACCACGGGCACTTCCTATTGCTCCGCCTCGGCTTAGCACGGCAGCTCCCGTGATAGGCATTAGTAATAGCCGCCGTCAGGGCCTCGCTGGCCAGTTCGATATCCATCACCGTTCTGACAGAAGCAGGAACGGATCTAATCCCATCCATGAGGAGCGTTTCGAATTGACTCCAATCTGTGGATTGGGGCACCCGATATATTTCTTCTGCCAGGCCCCCGGAGACCATGATATCAAACCTAATCTGCCTATGATCGGACATGGATGTCTCATTTGAGACATGCCATCCACCAACCCTACTGCCGATAAATTCAGTGCAAAGGGTGATGTCAAGGACCTCTTCCCTAATTGCATTTATGAATGTCGGCCTATTGCCTTCATTCATAATCATTAATTTATTGCTATATATAAATTCAAGTAGGCACTCACCTCTTTTGTTTATATTGCTGCTTCCCCAGACGGTGTGGTGGGCATTGGCATCACTTCCTATTATAAGTTGGAAGTTCCTCCTTCCACAAAAGTCCACTAGATCCCTCAGTTGCTCGTCCGGGTGGGCACAGTCCCCCGGGAGGTAGGATGAGCAAACAATGAACTCTGTCCAGCCCCCGCAGGACTTCACCTTCACCAACGCAGCTACCTGA